AGTCGGACCTGACTCATAGCAACCCCTCCTTGGGTTTCCGAGGCAGTATCACTACGGAAGTAGATTGCCCCATCTTCCTTGAGGAATGGCTGGTGGGTTTGAACCGCCTGCCTTCTGGTTGGTAGTCAAGTGCCTTAGGCACTACACTACCAGCACTCCCTACACTAAGCTAAAACAGAGAGGATCTAGACACCAACTAAGAGCATTCTCGCTCCAGAGGCTGGCCCTGTCACAATCTGCTCTCCTGCCTCTAACCCCAAACCTAAACCCAATGCGCTGCCATCAAGTGGATTCTGACTCACAGTGACCCTATGGGACAGAGTAGAACTGCCCCCCAGGGTTTGCAAGGCTGTAAATCTCTGCAGAGGCAGACTGCCTCATCTTCCTCCCGTGGAGTGGCTGGTGGGCTGGAAAGCAGCTGCGTTTGATGAGGTGATCAAGGTCCCGAGAGGCGGCAGTGCGCGTTGCTGTACCAGCACAGGTGAGCGGGCTCAGGACCTGGACGCGGGAGCCGTTGCTTCTCGTGTTGTCTAATTTCCTTGAGGAACAAAGGGTTTCAGTAACGCTGAGCTTTGCTTTTCGCATCTGTGTTTCTCTTCTGTGTCTGACAACGGCTCCTGGATCTTCAGGAATAATTAAGGATCCTGGCCTGGCAGTTCAAACCCCCAGCCACTCCTCGGAAGGAAGAGTGGGCAATCTGCCTCTGTGGAGACACAGCCTCAGAAACCCCAGCAGGGGCCGCTATGCGTCCAGTCGACTCCGGCAGTGACTTTGCTTTGGGTTTGGTTGGCCTCTGGGAGATGGCCCTCCTTCAAGTAGAGTACGCCACTCTTTGTGTTGAACCCACAGAAGCTTTTGACTCATCCATATGGGCCAGCTCCCTTATTTAAATGTGAGCCCCTGTGTGCTGTGGGTGGTTTGAGCTCAGGTACTTAGCTGATCTAGAACCAAGCAAAGGGTCAGGCAGAAGGCAGACACTCAAAACTTAATGAAGAATTACAACAGTCTCTGTGCTAGGGCTAATGAGTA